CCGGCATTCAATGTTCACCGCCTCTTCAAATAAGGATGGATGCACACGGAAAACTTCCATTCTGGCCACGCCAGTGCGGAGGCCTCCCATAAACACGGTCACTGTGACCACCTCCGGGAGAGAATCTGCTGCCATCCCGGCAATGAGGGCTCGCATCTCTTGGACAAAGTCCACCAATTCCCTGTTGCCCTGTCGGGCGGCAAGGAAACGCGATCGCACGCGATACGCCTGATTAGGCGGCGAGAACACTCGTGAGAGCTGCAATTTCAGCTAAACGACTCAGGTGTAGATTGACTCCAAGTGCTACCAAGTGCAGCGGGGCTGCCTTAGCAAAACGCTTGAGGAAGCGTACTTTAGATCACCGACCATTCGTTCTTTACAAGAACCAAGAATGAGTCCGCTTACTCAAGAGTGAACTTTGCCTTTTCAAGGCTAATCGCTGGTTTAAATTCTAGACTGTTTTTTATTTATATTTTTATTCTTGTGTTAGAATTTAGATTTTCCTAAATATACCAAATATATATCGTTAAATCTAAATACATGCATAACTACTGGCTATCTAGCCCCGTACCGAATTCTTGTTTGGGTGTGTGGTCACATCATGCACATCTCTTGTGACACCCCCCCCTGTTATTAGGGTTCGTGTAACCCCGTTATATGTTGCATCGCCACTCGAGCATACATAGCTTGCGAGACTCCAACACCAGTCAATCTCCATCGTTCTAAACTGACACTCCCTTTTATAGTCACTGGTTTGGGCTACACGAGTGAGAAATTTCAGCAAGTCGCCATCAATTTATAGTAATAATTACAGCAATTAGCACACGTTGCGAACAAGTTGACTTCATTCAACACAGCGACAATCATGTTAGATTTTCTATACAGTGCAGACGACGGCTTATGCAACTCGGTCATAATTCGCAACCTGAAGCTCTGAAGCTTTAACATACAGTATATAAAGACGCAGAAGAGAGTAGGACTTTTGCAGGCGAAAGGAAACATCCAAAATTTTTAACATGATTGACGATCCCGACCGAAGTATTTATCAATTCTTGAGATCTAGGACAGTAACAAAACTGGATGAGTTTATGCACACGGTCGTCATTGCATCATCGGCTCCATCGTCGCTTATGTCGAAATAAACGATATTAGAATGCCTGTCGCTGGCTTTGTAAATTACATCTGGAACGTTTTAACCGGTAAAACATCAGTGTGACTTTGATTTAGTTCGAATCAGACTAATGGAGAGAATCATCTTTTTGTTTGGCTTCATTTTGCTGTTCGATGCAGACACGAATGGTGAGGTGACGGTTGACAAGTTGGACAAATTACCTGAAGCTAAGGTAGAAGAAACACAGCGCGCGCTCACAAACGTATTCCAGCAATTGAGCGCAGCGCAGCAGGTGGCGGAACTTTTTGCAATGGAGGACAGACAGCTGAGGCTGTTTAACGTGCAAACACATACCGAGTTGATGGCCATTAAAGAGGAGATCGCAAAAGAGATAGATACGGCGATGCTGGAGGTGGAGAAATCACGGAAGAAGGCGGAAGAAACTGTGGCGACGTGGAAGAAGACGCTACAGGGGCTAGAGGAGGCTACCCAGAGAAACGAGCAGGTGTTACAGAAAATTCGAGAGAAAAAGAAACAGGAGCTACGGGCAGATCTAGAGCTACAAATGAAGCTAGTGAGCGAAGACAGGCGAGAGGTCGAAATTTTGGAGGAGCTGGAGGGGCAGTGTGAGTTGGAGAAATACTTGAAAGATGAAGAATTGGCAAGGCTGCAGGAGCTAGAGCAACAAGAAATCGAGCGAAAGCGAGTTTTAAACCAGCTTCAAGAGCTGGAGAATCAACAAGATCGCGAAAATATTCAAATTGAAGTGCCGGAAAGGCATCAAAAGTCAGAGGAGAAGCGAAGTGAGCTGCAAAAAAACAATTCCGACTTTGCCAAGATGGATAAAGGTAAGAAACGCGCAAGTTTTGCAAAAGATGTGATTGCTTGGTACATATCAAGAGAACAACTGGCGCTGGGTGTAGCAATCGCAGTGTTTCAGAAGTTCGTGCTGCCTGTGGCGGTAATTCTGAGTCTATTCCTCACATTTACGGTGATCATCGCAAAATGCAAAGCAATAAATACAAAAACAAGACGCAATCAGCGTATCTTGTATTCCAGTTATCCAAAAAGCTATCAGCCAAAAGCAAAACGTCAGTAAAGCCAATTTAGTCAAGTTCGTCTCTCGTCTTCGACAATTACTTGTATTCAAGTGAATTTGTCAGTAATTTTTAGTTAACAAGCAATGAGTGAGTTTAAGTTCGGATGTTATCATAGATGTGTTTTGCCTTCACCCTTTTAGTAAACTAACTTTTATAACGTCGTTGCATTTCATGTTTTAATTCTGTGGTAGTATTAAGTGGCTGGGTTGTCTCACTGATGACCAAGCACAACAAGAGCTGCTATAACGGCTCGATACAATAACCGATAGTTCGGTGGGAGATATGAAGCCTATAAAAAATTTTGCACTTGTCTTTGCCTCTATATTGTCATGAGTGGTTGTTGGGGCTGGTGAAGTGAACGAAATAGTCCGACTTGAATGCATTATGTAATATTCGTATATTCGATTAGATTGTTGGCGTGCGGTCTAAGTAACTAAGCGCTTAGTCGGCCGGAGTGATAGAAGTCACTTGAAGCGTGTCAGTCCAAGGCTGAGAAAAGAGGACTATGTTGTAGTCAAAATGCTCGCAGTTGCGATCAATACAAGCGCCAAGTTCTTTGTCCGTCATCACATTGCAGCCCGCCACCTGGAACTTGTAATTGATGCCTGCGACTACTTGCGTTTGAAGACTTTCAACAGCATAAAGGCAAATCCTCGCCGTCACATTAGCTTGATACATGCTGGCATTGCCCGCTGCCTTTGTGAGAAGCTTGATGTCTTCGTCTGTGGGATTTTGCAGAGTGTAGCTACCCACAATTGATTGTATCTGAGGAATAGTGATAGCTAGAGCCAAACTCACGAAAAGTCCGATAGAGCGGACGAAAGCCATGCTTGAGAACGAGGTCTGGAGTGAGAGGCGGAAACGCTAATGTTGAGCGCACATGTAATTGTCACAAAATTTCGAGGATTGGAAGGCATTATTGCACATATTGGAAGATGGGGGGAGCGGATATGAAAAGAAACAGAAACAAAAAAAATACAATCTAATTATGTCAGTATATTCTGAGAAGCGACATGGCTGAACTTTCCGGTGCTGAGCACAAGCATCACTCTTACTACTTCTGCATCTTTTGTCACATGCAGAACGAGTTACTAGAGCATCAACCTTTCAGATTAGCACTGCCTTTTAGATGAGATCTCAGCACTGACCGTACAAGCCTTTACAAACCACAAAGTTCAGAAAAATGTTGGTCTGAAGAAAAACAAAAAAAGGAAATTTGCAACGAGTGCCCTAAATTGAAAATTTGAGCGAAAAGTGATAGTCTCATCCACAAACCATTTGTATAGATAAATTTAGCTCGTATTTGTGTAACTGGTTTCTGTGAGATGTGCACAAAAGCGTTATGTGCACGCACACCCTTTTTCGGTATGTGTCCCTCGCAAAGCTGCTAATATATTTGCAAAATTTTGTTCTATTTCGAGTAATTACTACCCTATCGCCCACTTTTTAACATGATTATACTCACCACTCATATATCCAAGCCGCACTGCTACAAAGATCTACTCCACGTTGAGCTTCACCTATTTACCTTAAGGCAGAAATCATGCAGGATATTAATTACATGTCCAAAAAGAGTTAAATCATTTTCGCATAGCTGGAATGAGTCTGTATTTAATAAATTATCGAATCTCGAATCTAGGTGTTAGGTGATTTCAGTGTATCCCCGCTACGCGACGACAGTTATCATTCATTGCCACATGTATACTAGATAAACTTCATCAAATTCATACGTTTTAGTAATATAATTGAACATGTTTCGCAAGACACCAGTAATTAAAATGACTGATTCACTTTGGAGGAAGTGCACAAGACACACGCAGCTTCATCCCATTAAATTCTTTCCCATCCAGCCCTTCGACCGCTCGATGCATGTCCTCAGCGCTACGCAGCGTCACAAAACCAAACCCACGAGCGGTGATGCGTACCGATTCATAACCGAGGTACTGAAATAAAAATGAAAGTTCCTCTCGCGAAGTGCCTTGGGGAAGATTGCCCACATACACTTCGTACGGATGTGGCGCAGGATGAAAGCGGTCGCCACCTCTACCAGAATTACCACTGCGGTGGCTAGTACGATCACCACCTCGATATCCTGCACTGCTTTCACGTTTACGAGTATCCAAAGTGGAAGGTGCTTCTGCGTGGCCATTGCTTCCTCGTCGACGAGTATCTAGATTAGACGGGACTTCCGCGTGGCCCCACCAAACGCTATGCACAATAACGCTCTCTGGATTTCCATTTTCATCGCGGGTAGGGACTGTCAGCACAAGGTTTTCGCCCTCACGAATTGGCACACGATGTTTAAATTCGTCTTGAAAAATTTCTTCGATGAAAACCAAGAGGCCAGTCGACACGATTGTCAGACGGAGCGTAAATGGCTCACCAAATGTAATCGGGAACCGCGGCAACGGTTGCGAGCATCCCCAGCGACTATCAATATTGCTATTTTGAATGATATGTCCTCCACGATGACGACGCGGGTTGAAGTGGTACAGCACCGTACCAGGATACGGCGCACCACTGAGCATACTCGACTGAGTGCTAATATTGAAGCAGCATCTTGACGAACGCGGAGGTAGTGTTGCATGAATGATGAGAGTGTTATTAGTGGCAAACGCGACTTCTGGAAGCACCAGATCTAATGGAGTTCCGGTACTCGAGTCCCAGTCTTCATTTCTTAAGAAACTTTCCAACGGTAACTGAATTGAAGTACGCCCCCCCTGAATCTTGATCTCCCCTGGCTTGTTACTCTTAACACTTTTCGATTTTTTGATACTTTGCACTCCCCCGACCACACTACCGGAACCCCCTTTGAGAATGTCTGTCAAGGGATTTGTTCTCTTTACAGCGGCGGATGACGATGTTCTCGTTCCGCCGGTCCTTTTGGCCATCAGGAGTTTAGCCCTTTCAACCACTGATATGGGTTGTTTAGCCGCCGTAGCCCCTGAATTTCCGGTTATGTTGCTACTCGGAATGCCTACCGATGCTGAAGACCGTTGAGCGAGAAAACTCTGCACTCGAGCTCTGTCCGTCGAAACCTGTGGCTTGGGCGTCGCGACGGACGGTGGCGTGACGCCTCCAGCTACTGCTTTTCCCATCGATCCAAGGGAGGTAATGCGCGCCGATGAAGCCCCTCGAACTTTATTTAGCGAACCTGGAGACGCGGTGGACGGAGTTGGAAGACTTACATCAGAGTTTGTGCTATTTGTTCCAGCAATGGATGAAGAAACTTCGGTTTCCGACTGGAAAAGCTGCACCAGAAGAATTTCTTGTGCTGTGAGATACTTGCCACGAAATGCCTCAAGTTGTAAATGCTGTTGCAATGCATTGTGCTCGTCATCCTTGACAGGCTCCACCGCCGATGTCTGCATAACTGTTTAGAAATAATATAAAAAAAATTAAATAAAAAGGAATATAGAGTAATTTTATCAAAGACCATATTTTGATTCTAGTTACACATTTATTTTCTATTCGTGGCATTCATGTTCTTTTTGAAGCAGCTCTCGCGCGACTTGCTGCTGCATCCGATGCACTTTGGGCCTAAATTGCACGACATTATACGTTTGCGTTTAATTGAGGAGGTAGAGGGAACATCAATGGGTAAGTATGGCTACGTCATTACGGTTACGGAGGTGCGCGACGAGGACATCGGCAAGGGTGTGATCCAGGACAATTCAGGCTTTGTGTGCTTCAATATTCGTTACCGCGCTATCCTCTTTCGTCCATTCAAAAATCAAGTACTTGACGCCGTTGTCACAGTCGTAAATCAGCTTGGATTTTTTGCGGATGTGGGTCCGCTACAGGTCTTTGTGTCCCGACACGCCATGCCTACGGATCTCAACAACGGCTACGATCATGAAAGCAACGCATGGATTTCAGACGATCGAGAGGTCGAAATTCGAAAAGGTTGTGGTGTGCGACTTAAGATCATGGGCGTCAGTGTTGATGTTACTGAGATCGTGAGTAACTTCAGACAAGCTTTTTGCTGACCAAATAATGGGCTTGCTGACGGGTACTTATTGATCATATTGTCACAGAACGCTATTGGAACCATTAAGGATGACTATCTAGGTCTCATCTCATCCGACAATTAGTATTTGGACTTAAGAAGCTCGAGGCTGTGCAAGAACCGGAGTGTTACCGGTACGATGTTTGATCATATGCTTTCATCAGATAAGGATAGTGCAGGCAATGTTTATCGATGTAATGTCGATTGATGAGATTATCCGATTTTCTAAAGCTCCAGAAAATGTGTAGATTTTCGATGCTCCCGTTTCAGTATTGGTAAAATGTCGCTCAGCCCGACATTCTCGATCTCAAAACCATGGATCAGCTGTTGATATAGCTCACTTTCGAACTTCTCGCGAGTGGCACATTCCGGTTTTAACATGTCCTTCAAGGAACATAAGAATTCCAGATGGCTGCGTTGCTGACGATACTTGGGTTGACGTGCTGGATTAGTAAGGTACTCCATGTTTTGCGGGTCAAAATCCCAAAGAAACGACGTATGATGTAGCCAACGTCCCTTCGAAAGACTCTGAGCATTACCACCACATTTGCGGTCGTTAAATACGTAGTCATCCTCTCGCAGCGAAAATTTCTGCAAGAAATATTTCTCCAGACACAGGTCAGTAATTTATCAGTAGCATATCGAGAAGTATCAAACGCGCACTTGATGGTCTAAGCTGATACGCGCAAACAATGGTGAATAGAAATTTTGTGACCAAGACATAATGTCACGTGGGAAGGGCTTCACATGGGGAAAGTCCTCGTGCTTGCAGACGAAAGTGGTAAAGATCGTGTTGTGGTCCACAATGACGGTTCCACCGCCACTAAAACGCTTAAGCACAGGAATACCGTCTCTGATAAGCCAAATTTTAATAAGCTTTTTTAATCTTTTGCGATCCTTAGAGCGCAGTCGACGCACCGCTTGACGGCATCTTGGTGTAGCAATTGTTCCGGTTTGCCAGAAATACCCATGACGATAGTCTTTTGTAAGTGTCCGTCATTGTAAATAAACCAATTTCGCTGCTGTTCGGCACGGAACAGCGCCTCCTCTATCTTAAGCTGCGTCTCGATAGACGCTCGTAGACGCAGGAAACTTATGAGTGGCTTCCTTGCCATTGCTCCAAACAAAGAATATTGACAATTAGTTTACGTTTGGACAATTTTTTTAATACAGTAGTCAAAAAGTTGATCCTTGATTTTGACACGATGACAAATGAGCCCCTGCTGCTAGCGGCTCGCGAGTTTGCGCGGGGCTCTCTGGCATCGCTTCCTCTCGACTTTGAGATTGTGGCATCCGTTACTTCTTCAACACATTTTGCAATCCTCTTTCGATCGCAAACAGAGCGAGATTGCGTACGTTTGGGCGTATTTGAGATAGATGAAGATAACGATGTAGAAAACTGCGAATTGGTCGATATTAGGGCTGCTACTGACGATTTTGAGGTCTCACAGAGTGAAAATGATAACTGGACGCTTGTTTGGAGTCCAGACCTTAGGTTTCTCGTCATCAGCGGTCGAATTTCGCACACACAAGGTGCATCTGAAGGCGTCATGTGGATATTTGCTCGCTCTAAGTGGCTTGTTCCTGAGGAAGCAGCTGATCATTCAACAGCTAATCCACTTCTTTTGTGTATCAAACCATCGATGTACCTTGCTGCAAAGCATTGGAATCCAGCCACCAATATTGTGAATGTGTTTTTTCCAACACATAATGGAAGTAAAGCGTTTGTTCTGTCTGAGGATGGTGTTTGGCTTGCTGTGAACATTCAATTGGCCAAATTGTCATTAGATGCAATGAACTCGAAGCTGGTTGCGAATAAAGTGAAGTTTATTACGATGAAAATGGTGAAAAAGCTGACAGAGTGGCATGCAGACATCTCGGCGGCGTGTTACGACCCTACGAACTCGACACTTGTAATAAGTGGAGGAGTAATAAATCCGAGCACAGATCTTATCGAGAAGCAAGCTGCGTCTTTGAGTGTCTGGAAAGTTTTGGTCGACAAAGACAACAAGGAAGTTTGTGAGTTGCTGGATTTTACAATGCTATTGAAAGGAAAGATGCAGCACAAAGATGTGAATGTGAACAACAAGAGTGACACTGACATGATGTCGTCTATATCCGAGGAGCGTAACGGTCTATTGTCGAGTATCAAGAACTCATTATATGCCCCGTTAATAATGATGATTGGAGGTGAAACAAGAGAGACCCGGATACTTCGTGGCTGGATCCACCAACTCGCACTAGCGCCTAACGGCAACTTTGTGAGCATGGTGGACGACCTTGGGCGCATAGCGATTCGGCAAATTGACGTTTGCACAGATGTGCTAATGTGGCAAAGTATTGAGAATCTCTGTGTGAATAACATGGAGGATCCCAAAATTAAGATTGTCGTTTGGCTTACGTCTGACTTGTTGGCCCTAGTGCTCACTAACAACACTATTGTCTATTCATGTTTCGTCGTTCATCCTGATGAGGAGGCTGAACTTACTAGCAATGTTATTGAAGATGAGAGTTTGAAGCCTTCTGGACGCCTTTTGCCTGTCCGTGTAAAACACTACAGACCTGGAATGAGCGAAGATCATATCGAAACTCAAACGCTTGCTGTTGACGTATACGCAAATTTAATGAGCTCTCAGCGTAGCGTCGCTAATAATGCATGTGAGTTTGTAAGTAATGGTCATCTTTGGGCGGCAAATCAAATCGATACTATGGAAGCTGAGTCTTTTATCGAGATGCTCATGAATGCACGTAAGTTTGAAGATGCCCTTGCGACAGTGGAGTTTTACAATTTAAGTGAAATTTCGATAAATCCTGACAAAATTCATCGCCGTTTATGGACAAACTTTCGAGAGCAGGCTGGTAGATTGTATGAGGAGAACAAGAACGTGACTACACATTCGCAAAGGTCGAATTTGGTGTTTCTCTCGACACGGCCGCGCGGATCGCTCCAACGAGGACATCGTAGCGAATTTTTAAAGGCATTAGATCATTTACGCGCAATTTCGGACAAACGCTGGGTGCTTCGTGAATGTATGACACTGATCGCAGACGATTCGTGTGCGAGCATGAAAAAGATTCTTGATGTTGCGTGGGATGCGTGGTTTAGTTTAAATGTCGACGCTGGAGATAATTCGGAACTATCACAGGAACAAAAAAAACTTCAGCGCGATTCGTACCGCCTTGAAACACTCCGGCTGCTTTTGTGCGAAGAAGAGGGTGTACCCTCTACGTCTGTAACAGGTGATCTACTCTTTGATGGAATGACTTATGTGCGCTTCAAAGTCTCGTCTATCTTGTCAACAGCACAGCAGTTTGCGTCAGAAGGCCGTGTATGTGCTCTCACGATATTATTTCAAAGACATGGAGAAAATTTGCTTCCTCACTGGCTCAAAATACTCAGATTGATCCCTCCTTCAGTGTCTCCATCGACGTACTCGCTGCTACTTCCAGCAATTACAGATAAGATGGAAGATGACGTAGAGTTTTGCACTCTGAGCAGAATAGACGAGCTCATTGTAATAAATAGCGATGAGGATTACGATTTGATCACTCCATTTCCTTTCAGCTCGGAAAATCGACTACAGGATCTTTCAAGTGAAGAGTTGTCGGCATATTCAGAGTTTATAGAAATACCACGTGAAGAGCGTAATGCTGGATGTGGTCAATGGTTTATTGATAGAATCAAAGAACTGGACGAACGTTTCGGCCAACTTGCGTTTGCATTTGAGCTGGGCGATTTAGCACTTCAGTGTCTACGTGGATGGTCTGCGCTGAAAACTAAAAAAGTACTCGAGGAGCTCGTTTTTCAAACCGAGCGCTTGTATAAGTGCGTGTATAGGCTGCATCTATCGGCATGCTGCTTACTCCCACTGAGTGATTGGTCTGCCTTGTCCCTACAAGATCAAGCCATGATTGTGGTGGGTATTGATGATATCAAAAAGATTGATGACATTGGTCCTCTTATCGATCGTTTGGATGTTGTGTTTAAATCCCAACGCGGCTCTCAAATCTTTTCTCTAGATGATCTGTTCGTTTCGATTGCAATAACTTTGGCATCGAAAGCTTCTCTGATAGGTCTGACGATCGCAGCTCAATTGATCCAACAAAGTAATCCATCTGTCGGCTTAGCAAATCGGTGGATTCAAAGCGAAGCAAGACTCATCGAAACTGCGCTAGGTGTCATCAATGCTGTTACGGTATCTGATCTCATCAGTAGTGAAGCCTTAAGTGCAGATACGAACGCCTACATGCGATATCACCAGGCGTTCGCGAAACAGTTATGGATAATCTTTCAGTCCCTACCGTCTCGAAGCGAACACGATCCCCCAGAGATTGCCCAATTGCAAGTGGTAGTTGATGAGACGGAAGATCTGATGGTGACAATGGATGTATTATCCAAATACGATGTGGTTGCATTTCCTAGCACAATCAAATCTCAAATATTGGTTGCCAGCAATGACAGTGGCGGCATTGACAAGGATGGTGAACCACTTGCCTTGCTTAAGCAGATGTGTAAATTCGCGTTACCCGGCACGACTGGTCAGTGGCTTGAGGTGCTGCAAGATGCAATTCAATTGAAGGAGCACGTTTTTGGCGAGCGATTAAGCCAAAATAAAATCATGGAAGCGATTCTAAAGCATCTCCTTGCGCCCGGTCATGTCGACGTTGATGCTGCTCAAAATTTGGTGAATTATTGGATTGCATCAGACGTAAAGGCTATTGACTATATCTTAGAGCAATTATTGGTAACTCTTCGAGTTGCGCTGGACTCAGTTGTTGGGTATTCGGAGGATTCTGATGCCAATGCAGCTCACAAAGCAGCTTTGTGTATCATAACCATTACTAAACAACTTTTAGCGCTTTCGTTGTGGGATGACGGAGACAAAGCCGCGATTGGCACGAAACAGCACTACGAGAATATGCTACGTCAAGAAACGGATGTAGCTTGCGCTTGCGAGCTGCTCGACTTACTTACGTATGGTGCAGTCAAGTTATCTCCATCGAAACTCCGTGCGGTCGATACAGAAGAGCAAAAGAAAATTCGACTTGATGCTGTGTGCCAAGTTTTTGTGAGTAATCCTAGCAATTACAAGCCATCCAAGCGAGCGAAGGAATGGCTAGCTCAGCATCAAATTGGCAATTCTATAATCGCCGAGACTGATTACCTAAAGGATGAACCTCTGGCTGCTGTTATGCATTTGGCACAGCTCTTGCGAGTTGAAACACAGAAGCTGGAAATTTGGTTGAAAGGAGCGTATGCCTCTCTCTATTGCATGGACTACGACGTTGCGTGTAATCTAACATTGCAAGTGATCAACGAGATGGCTGTCGAAGTGGGCGTCGTCGTAGCTAGCAACAATAGCAAAGACAGCCAGCTCACGCATTTGCAGTTGATTTCACTTGTATTAGATCTTGTGTCCGCAGCTTCCTTTGGATCATGGAGTAAAAAGCGCCAGTTGTGTTTAGCACTACTTAGTGCAACCACAGTATCATCATTGCACCTCTTTGCACATCAAGCTACAGATTTGGTGCTACATTGGCTCGAAAAGATTGAAGCTATCCAGGCATTGATGATTGAGCTTGGATTGTCAGAGAGAGATTTAGAGCAAAGGCGACTTGATGTGGGGAAAGGTACAATCAGTGTCGCAGTCGTACTGCTTAATGAGCTCAAGGTGGTCGTTGACTTGCTGCACGAAGAAAACAATGATCGCCAGTTTTTGTTAGGTTTGGTGCAGCGCGGGTTTCAGCTCACTCAAGTGATACTGAAGGACGCTGGTAATGCTGAACAAGAAGCCTACAGCACGTCTGTATCATCCTTTCTTCAGCAAATAATTCAATTGTCCGTTGAAGAGACTGTAGAGTTGACCACTTCTGCTTCAAACAGTAAGACCGGAGATTGGCAACTATATATTGATCTAGCCTTTAACCATTTAATGCTTTGGAGCGATTTATGCACTGACGATGCAACCTTCGAAGCATTTTGCGCAAACATCCTCCTCTCGTTGACTCCCACACAAGACACGACATTGGACTCGAGTGAAACAAATGAGGTGGTGGTCCGACGCTTCTGTCACTTCTTTCTGCTTCAAGCTGCTCGAGAGAAGGCATTTACGCTTGAAACCGATGATGAGGTTACTGAGATATCTCGAAGGTTGCGTCTGCAAACATTGATTTCGTCTTACGATGCTGCACACAAGGCCGTGAGATTTACAGGCGAGCCATCAAGTGGAGTAAGTGAATCGATTAATGTGGCACAGCAATCAACGAACTCCGAGCTCTTGTTATCAGACCGACGATACCATATTTACCTTAAGTTAGCCCAAAAATGCTATGAGCTGTCCGTGTCGCAGAAAAGTACGCAAGAAATGGATCGACTGAGAACAATTTTAAACTCTGATTTTGATTCAGTTCGTTTTTTACAAGACAAACGCTACCGCAACGAAAGAATTCTGTCCTTGGCCACAAAAAAAGAGCATTATCACCTTTCACGACAGCTCGCAAACAAGTATGGCCTGGATGAATTCGAATGTGTGCTGACATACATCAAACATGCGCTTTTGTCTCCTTCAGACGACAGACGCAAGAGCCGTCGTAAACAGCTGGATGAGGCATTTGCAATTGATCAAGTTGATATTTTGGAAGAAGCTTTAAAAAGGCCGAGATTGTTTGGAGATTTCTTGTTGAAAAAGGAGACAATTGACGAACCGAGCTTATACGAGGCCCTTGACGGAACGGATCACGTCGGTGTTCTGCTTGTCTTACGCATGATTCTGGAGTGCTCGAAGCGACTTGATCAAGAGACCACAGAATTCGTGAGAACTCAAGAGCACTCTCTTTTTCCGCTCCCTAAGTCTTCGATCGATCGCATCACGTTATTAGTTCTGTGTTTGAAAAAATTGAAAGATATTAGTGACTCCGTTAAGAATGTAGATGCTGTGGATCTTAAGCTTATCGGAGCAGCATCCACATCTACTGAATTATTGACCCCTCCAACATCTTCACAAGGGATTGCAATTGCGAATCGAAAGGTGGCAATTAAGGCAGTGCAACCGCTTTTGACGAACAAGTCTATTAAATTGGTGACTAAAGTCTTACGCAAATTACACTATGTCACACCCAGCGCCATGGTCATGATCTACATCAATAATCTACTAACCAACATTTGGAAAGAGCACGGAAATACTGGCAACAGCTTAGGGGCTCTCTCTGCAGATCTCGCTGTCTACGCGTATGAGTCGTGCGTCCCGTGTCTATCGGTGCTATCGGGTGAACACTTGACGCTATTTCATCACTTGTATCTCAATAGGTCCAGTGACAAATCATTACCAAAGTTCTTGACACATTTGGACATTGACGAGGAGTTCTACGGACAACGTCTAGATAGTGTATCGCTTTTTGGCTCGCTTTTGACTCCTCAGAAGCGCGTGGAGCTTGAGGTTGATATGCTAACAATTTTGCAAACCAAGTACAACTCGTGGCAAAATTCTGGTTTACATTCAAACGTGTCATCAGCGTCGTCTACTTCGTCGACTTCTTCTGTGTCATGGGATCCTGCACAGTTCAAGCGGTTAGAAAGCAGTGTTCACTATATGGAGCGTGAGTTGGCAGAAAACGTTTGCTACTGGGTGCTGAGTGAAATCGAGAAGAGCGGCATGACATCGGAGGCAGATGAATTCACGGCGGAAACATCATTGATGCAGCCGATGGTACAAATTACGAAGGAGTGGTTTGCAATGGACCATGAACAACTGAGAGAAGACAACGATGAAGACTTTTATATACCTTTTTTACTGAAGCTTTGTCAGCATATTGCTTGTGTGGAACTTGCTAGTCTGATCATGGAGCTGATGCTGCGCTTTGGGATACAGAAGACCAGTAGCGAGGAATCGACAAAAATCATTTCGCAAATGTATCAACGAGTCGTGGTCAGTCTCATCCAGCGATGCGTGGGTCTAAATGATGATAAAGCGCATGAGTCTGCTGATTGGGTGGAAAAGCTGATGTGGACATGGGTAGTGGGATCATGCTCTCCTATAAGTAGTCAAAAGGCTGAGCTTGAGAGCTTTCTTGAAAAAATATTTTGCCTTCAGGCTAGTGCACGCGTTATATATGAGCGTGTCTTGAAGATTTTATCTCAGTCAACCTCAAATTTACTGAAAGATATTGGAATGCGTCGACTTCAAGAGCTGCATATTGCAAGCGATGAGAATGCCAATCAGTTAAACGCGGCAAGACAAGCAATAAAATTTCAGTGGGAAGAATCAATTGTGCAATATCAAGAGAAGCGTAAATGGGCAGAGGCTGCAGTTTTGAGTCACGTGTATGCAAATTCTGTCAACATGGATGCTGCTAAATTTTACTTTGGCCTTCGCGTAAAGGCAGTTTGGGCTGCGCTTCTGAATAAATACAATGCAGATGTAAATCAAACTGGGCAATTTGTCTTCAGGACCCCCAGCGGTGAGATTTTTGATAGATTCGCTGACATGTTTAATGAGTTGTTAACCATCATTGAAGCGTGGTCGGGTGATGTGCGACCTGCGAACATGGCAACAGTGGCATTAAGTCATTTGTTGGTCATCCACGACGATTTAAAGGTATGCAACAGCTCGGAAAGTACAACGCAGCGCAGTGTGTTGATGTGGCAGCGCGAGCAAGAGATTGGGGTTCGTACGCGCATCCAGATGCAGTTTCGATCAGGTTATGTGATTGAAAAAGAGGCGTCGAAAAGTCTTGTTGCAACATGCTGGTCTGCTCTCGTTGCACGAGGCAAGTGGGGGGACAATTTATTGGATTGGTACACAACGCATGCGTACGCAGAGCTTGTTGGTCACGAAGAGATCATGGATTTCGTGATTTCGAAGCATTTGGAATCCAACAACCTCACTTTGGCAATTCAATTGCTTATGATGTGTCCATTTGATGAACTTAGAAAAAAGTATATGGATCGCGCTTTAGCCTACGTCCGACAATTATCGCAAAAATCTCACAGTTGGCCTAAGCTCATGGAGCTAGTGCTGTTGCGTTTTGATATCGCTGTGCTGTTGCAGCATGACCTGTACACGTCGATTGTTGCCTTTGTTCTGCAAGATGCTTGTACGCGTCCAACACTCTGGACGTCCAGTGGTAATTACATTGTGTGCGCCTTAGTGACGCTAGGTGAAGTAGCAGCTGCTGGCCGTCTAACCTGCGCTTTACGTCACGCTCACCCCATGCTTTGGGATATGGAGAACGCTCGTCTTCTACTTACCAGCTATCTTCGGTCACTTGCCTCGCTGTGTGAACAGTCTGAGCATAGTCACGACGAGCTCATTCACCTACAGCACGAGGTGTATGTGCAGACACGAGATCACTTTTCAAACATGCTTCTTTAAATTAAAACACGTATAGACATTATATACCAAGCTCCTCTTGAATAAATGTGAGTCTACTACGTCTGCCTCGTACTTTATACATTAAGCTTGAGCAGCTCCGCTATGTGTAGATTTCGCCAGTCCTTGCTAGGAATCTCAAAGTGCTCATCAATGTCTACTACGTCATTTTGCACATTCTGTTTCAGTCCTTGAGTGAGCACCTTGGTCGCACCATCAGCAACATTAAGTCGATTCTCCATCTTTGTCCAGCCTCGTTTAATGTCCTTTAGTAAAAGCTGAATCCCTGTCGTGGCTTCACTATTAAGTTGCTGATTATCAAGCTACAACAATTCAAGCCAATAATGAGAAGACACAAGATCACTATATAACGTCTTACGCACCAGTAAGACGCAGGCACGGGAATAATTCTGCTCCACTTTCTCCGCAACTTTGTGAGCAAAGTGGCTCAGTCCATTACCGGACTCAGATGGTAAATGTCCACTTCCAGCATAGTAGAAGCCGACAATCTGCATCTTTTGACCTATCTGGTAGTGTGCGTCTACCATAGCACACGCTACCTCGAACAGAGGAGCCAACGGGGCTTCATGGTGGAATAGCGGCACAGCATCCGTAATTAAAACACGATTTCCATTTCCCACACCTATAAGAAGGCCACAAACAGCATTTGAAGGATGCTTAGCTGCGTGTAGCGCAAGTTTGACGTATGATTGCGTCGATACTGAGTAGTCCATATGAATGAGGGATCTTTAATTATAAGAAATGGTATATGAGAAATATTACAATTTATACTATTCACACAGTATAATTTTTTGTGTCGATACCATGTCCAACAACAAACGTTTCGGTCGGTCGCTGTCCACGACTTCATCAACGTCAGACACTTCGTCTTCATCGATATCTTCATCTTGTGACAGTCAAGAACCAAACGCGTATGCAAACTCAAAATTTCCGCGCTTTTCGCCAGTACCAGCTCCTGTATACCCTCCTAAGGTTGAGCGCGCTATTTACAATGCAAAAAAAAAGCACCGATCAGGTATCGTGTCCTGCAGCGCATTTTTGGACTCCTTATCACATTATTTACCAATCGTTTGTTGGCAGATATCGATCCGAACGATTGGAATCGCGAGGGTTTTGCTGGTTCAGATGTTTGTGACCTACCGCTGGACGAGTCGAATCCAATTAAGCGAGAACATTGCAGTGAATTGAGTGTCAAGCGATTTATTGAAGAGTATGAACTTCCAGTGATTCCTGTTATTATTGATGGAGTCCCAGAAGTTGAAGGGTGGGGTGCTATCAAGCGCTGGTCGCTGAAAAAATTACGGAAGAAATACAAGCGCGTAGAGCTCAAATGTGGCGAGGACGACTACGGCAAGTCAGTTCGGATCAAATTCAAGTATTTCTTTTCATACTTGACCAGCCAGACGGATGACAGTCCACTGTATATATTTGATAGTTCGTTTGACGACCATGTCGATACCAAGCCATTGCTTGACGACTATCAGGTGCCCAAATATTTTCCTGAAGACCTTTTCTCGTTAGTAGGCGAGGATCGAAGACCACCATACCGCTGGTTCCTTGTCGGACCTAAACGCTCAGGGACTACACTACATGTGGACCCACTTGGTACCAGTGCGTGGAACACGTTGATAATTGGTCGCAAGCGCTGGGTACTTTTCCCCCCGCATCTTCCAAAACATCTCGTAAATGGCAAAGTGCATCTGCGAGGTAACGAAGACGATGAAGCTGTTAATTACTTTATGGATTTGCTACCGCGTTTGAAGCGGGCAAACTCGCTCGATGCTTTACAGTGTATTGAATTTATGCAATACCCTGGAGAGACAGTGTTTATACCTGGCGGCTGGTGGCATGCCGTATTGAATGTAGATGACACAGTGGCGGTCACTCAAAATTTTTGCAGCTCGCAAAACTTTGCTGCTGTATGGCGCAAGACCCGCAGTGGCCGTAAGCGCATGGCAGTTAAGTGGCTGAAAAAGCTGGAAATATCCAATCCGGAGCTAGCTGCCTTGGCCAAAAAGCTAAACGAGAAGGATAATTATATTATGTACAGCAAAGAGCGAATCTATACGCAGTCTCTGAAAAACTCGCACGAGCGAAAGAAAAAACGTTTTGAATGTAATTGCGAGCTGCCAGCATCTTCACGAGACTCTCACAACACTAAGAAAAAGAAGAGATGTTGCTGAATTGTAGAAGGTTCCACAAATAGAAAGATTTACTTCTGCCAACATGCTGATCCGATATATGTACACATTTTGATACTCTTTTAATGATGCTGCTCAGTTTGTACTGTCAAGACTTGCAAGTAAGTCATTTTGTAAGATACGAATATTATTGTGCCCACACCACTTACTATTCCAATCTATTACTCAATGTCTTCTGTTCACGATTTCTCCCAGCCGCCCCCCTCTACAAAGTATTAGCCCAAGCAAAGACGTATGCGATGTCCTCTTACGTCTGACCGATGCAGAGAACTTTGATCTCTCGAAGGTCCGTGTGCGCTGCTCACACAAGTTCCATCTTGATTTTATCACAAAAATGGGTGTGTCATCACTATTAAGGATAGTAAATAGTTTTAACACGAACTCGCGATTCATATGGTGAGTCAGTGATGTCAGTCTATGACATTATTGTATGACATCACATGTCTAGATGAGTAAAAAGGATTGAATAGTGTTAGAACAAAGGTCCAAGTTTTTTCTTCTTCGATACAAGTGTCTTCGACGACTTTTTACCGTTTGGATCCCATCGCTCCCTACCTTATAACAGGTTATGAGCCCAAAATACCACTACCACTACTCAAGATGCTACAACCATATAGCCCCACTTTCAAGGTTTCCTTTTTCTATACAAGTGTCTTCGCTCCGGTACTCTCCGCATGGACGACTCTTTACCGTTTCGATCGCTGTAGCTCCTTCACCATCGGCCCCTACCATATGACAGGGTATAAGCCCAAATACCATTACCTCCGCTCAAAATACTAAGATGTGTGGCATGATTTTCAGCAAGTCGACGTCGCACGTGACCGTGAAATGTCTCCTACACCAACCCTCGCGCCAGGGAGGACTACGTCAAGCCGCATCAAATTGCGTTTGGCTTAATGTTGCTCCGTATGGGTGCAGACAACAAACATATGCTCGATAATTGCCGAGAAGCATGGGCAACTCAAGTGATCTCGACACTTTAGAGTGGATCGGAGAAGGCTGGACAAATTTATTTGAGGCGCCAGCTCTTCAGCATGGAGATGGGGGAAGACGTCAATGTCTTGCATCACTGCGACGATGTTTTCAGCATCAGTGTTAAGATTCGCGGCATTGGGTGGATCAGGATATTGCGATCTTTGCATTCGCTGTCATTCTGACAACGTTCAGTGCGCATGTGCGCTACTGCATGCGACGGCTGTGTGTGGACAAAGAGGACACCGTCTTTCTTCAAGCCGTACTCGAACGATTAAAGTGTGCACACAACGTGGGTTCGTTTATGGATA